ATGATGCTGATCCTGAAATAAATAGCCGTGATGATGTCGACCCTAGAAATAAATCACCCTGGTGCCCGAACCTGAAGTACGCCGATACCGGCTCASGCCGAACCTCAAACATGTCCGRTACCGAACCTGACATCATGCTGTCGGTCCAATRTAACACGATCCCACGCTGTYCATATCYATGTGGTCATCGTCCGTACCGCCGGRMTCAGTAAGGTTAGTAATCAGGTAAATAGGGGACGCGTCATAGAGAGTTTCGATCATCGGGGGATAGCAAAAAAAAAGTTAGAGCTCAGGGAATTTGATCAAATCTGGGTTCTGAGCTGACGGTGGGTATCCCAAGCAAAAMYAGACCAGGCATCGAATAATCATTAGCTCCTGTTTGTTCCATCATTTTTAATCGTTCTCCCTTTTCSTTAATTCTATGGTCTGAAATAGTGAATTAGYCGTAGGTTCACCAAAAATGAATTCTGAGGGAGTTTAATCAAATGGTTGAAATTCTCTCTTTTCTTCTCTCCCTTACCATTTTTAATCTTTTTCTCTNGTAGGTTCACCAAAAATGAATTCTGAGGGAGTTTAATCAAATGGTTGAAATTCTCTCTTTTCTTCTCTCCCTTACCATTTTWAATCTTTTTCTCTTGTTTTCTATTTCATTGCCGGAAACATAAAATAACGAGGTATTTTCCCCAAAATTTTAATGCCGCAAAAAATAAGGGAACTAAGGGATATTACGTTTTTCTCTTCCCTCCTCCTGTTCCCAATCTTTTCTCCCATCCTTAGTTTAGGTACCAAAAATAGACAAAAATTTGAGGCCTCATTTCGGCCCCGGTCGTATGCCGCAAAAACGTTGCGGCGAAGTCAGTTCCAGCGATGCCTCTCCGCAGCAGGCCAATCCGAATCTAGCTCTCTAAACGGCCGGGAATGACGGTCCCTAGATGCACCGAGTGTGGCCAATTATCTCGCCATCTTTGAGGGTTACTCGTAAGGCTCAGTGCGCCAAAAATCAGGGGTGCCCTGAGTTTTCCTAATTTTTGCTGCCTGATCATACGAGAGTACCATCAAAACACGGACTTGTCCCTAAGCCTAAGTCCCAAAACTGCAGATCTCAGGCGGTGCACTGCTTGTGGCCGCCTGACAGTTAGCCCGGACCACTTCTCGACGCCCCCGTCGAAGCCTAGCAACTTACGTTAGACGAAGCGGACGAGCCTAGGGTGATAGCCCGTAAAGGACGCCCACGTCGGCGTTCGATTGTCTTATGTTTCAGTTTGTTATGAGTCCTGGGGCTAAGAAGATGCTTCTTGACTCTCCTGTTTCTTCTGGTTTTTTGTCCGGGCACGATCCTCTTTTTCTTTTGTCTTTGCCCCGAGAAGGGTGTCGACCCGCCAGTACGTCTAACGCGAACTCTCCGTTTAGCTCGCTTGAGCACGAATAACCATCTGTTCTCTCTTCCTAAAGCTAACCCTTTGACCTTTCTCTTCTCTATTCTTTTCCTTTTCTTGGAACTCTCCCCTGCCTCGAATTGCCTCAAGGGGGCTCCATCCTCCATTATGGCTTTTCCTTTCCCGTTCAGGCTGGTCAGCGATAAGGCGGGCGCGGGCCTGGGCCTAAACAGCTTTAACCTAACACCCGCCACTGGGTCCTTCCACTTAGATCCGTCTAATTCTGCTATCATATATGCACCCCAGTCGAGTGCCTCAACCACTCCGTAAGGTCCCATCCATCTGTTGGCAAGTTTTCCGGTCCAGGTTCTTTCCAGCGCTGCATCGTAGAGAAGGACCATATCTCCTACACTCACCCTCTCCTTCCTGATTCTCACATTCTTATCCCATCTCATTTTACCTTTGTCTCTTTCCACTGCCAGACGATCTGTCGCTGTCATAAGGTTATCTTCCAAACCGTAGGCTATCTATCTTGTTCGGGCAGCTAAGAGTTCCTCTCTCGATATCCCCTCTGCCCAGTCGACGGTTGTCCAGCTGTCGACGTGAAACTCTATGGGAAGCGGACAATGTCGCCCAAACCACAAGGTGTACGGTGGGTATCCGGTACTAGCCCGGACCGTGACGTTGTCCGCCCATATTGCGTATCGAAAATATCGTGGCCAATCACTGTCCTTACCCTTGCACCACTTGGACAGTGACGCTATCAGAGTCTGGTGTCCCCTCTCTACTGGGGAGTTCGACTGTGGGTGATAGGCGGTGGCTATCGAAACTCTCGCCCCGGCTCTCCTGAACACGCTCTGAACCTCGTCGGCTAGGAATTCCGCCTCTCTGTCCATTACTATCTTGCTGACACAACCGTACCTAGATAAGTACTCTAGGACAAAGTTATTTACTTCCTTTGCCGCCTCACTCCTGATAGGTCTACCGTCCACGAACCTAGTGAAATCGTCTCGTATGTTCGCGACGTAGCTCATATTGCGTACCCCTTTCGGCATTTTCACTAGATCGATGTGTACCTTCTCTCCTGGTCTGGTCGGATAGGATGGATGAAGTGGCTCTTTGTATTTCACAAGAGCTCTCTTCTGGCACTCTTCGCATGTCCTACAATACCTCTCGACGTCCTTATACTGTCCTTCCCACCAGTACAACCTGCGTACCTTTTCGTAGGTTCCTTTGACTCCCCTGTGTCCTCCGACTACCCCGTCGTGAAGCTCCGCAACTATCGTTTGTCTCTCCTCAGGGTCACAGACTACTCGTAAGGGCATCCCTGAGCCGCTCGGCCTTCGAAACAGATGGCCAGCTCTAAGGCAGTACTGGGTCGCTTGTCTCCGGATATCTAAATCTTGACTCTCCTCTGCCGTCAGGTGTAGTCCGATCGTTCGGTACTTGCCCTCGTAAAGATTAACCAGAAATCTCTCGGCTCGTCTCGGCTTCGCCATTGTCAGGGCTCCAGCTACTATCGGGCGCTCTCCCTCAAGAGGGATCCGAGAGAGCCCATCCGCTACGACATTTTTAGTGCCAGATATCCTCTCTACTGTATAATCATATACTCGAATCCGTATTAACCATCGTGCAATGGTCGGGTCTGTCAGGCTAAAGTCCTTCTAGAGGACAGAGGCGACTGCGGTGGGATCCACTCTCAAGATGAACCGTTGTCCATATATATAATGTCTGAACGTGTCTAGACACCGCGGAACAACTAATACTTCCTTCTTGAATTGACTGTAGTTACGCTCAGCCGTATTAAGCGTCTTACTCTCAAATCTTAACGGTCTTTCCGTCCCTCCAGCATCCTTCTGTGACAGCAAACAACCTACCGAACATGGTCCAGCATCCGTGGATACTATGAAGGGTCTCTCGGTCTCATCGTCAAAGAATGGCACGCCCAACACGCGTCCTCCCTCCTTAAATTCGTCTTTAAATTCTTGCATAGCGAGTTCCTGCGAAGAATCCCAGTAGAATTTTTCAGTCTTTCGAAGGAGTAACCTCAATGGCTCAGCCTTCTCCGCATACCCCCGTATGAATATACGCCAGTAACCGACCACTCCTAGAAACTGCCGGACCTCGGTTGGGCTATGTAACGGTGACGGCCAGTTCAGAAGTTTGTCTAACTTCGCCGGATCTGCTCGCCGTCCTCTCGAGTCACAGATAAAGCCCAAGATCTTAAGGGTCGAGACGGCCCATCGGCTCTTTGTTCCGCTGACTGTTAAATTCGCATCGTCCAACTGCTCAAGTACCGCCCAAATATCTGTTAGGTGCTGCTCGATGAATCTTCTAACTCCAGGTACAACCTCTGTCTCATCCCTGTCTGCTGGCCCTTTTATAGGAAAGTCATCCAGAAAAACTTCAACCTTATCAGGTATGAAGTCCTTGAGGATGGCTACTATGGCTCACTGAAAAACGGTTACCCCATTAGTCCAACCCATAGGGACGACCATCATTTGTATTAATCCCAATGGCGTATGCATAGCCGTGAGGTGTCTGTCCCTAGGGTCAAGCGATACCTCATCGTAACCTGAGAACAGATCACAGACCGAATAAATCGACCTACCTGCGGCGCCTTCTGCCAGTAAATCGGCGTGTGGCACAAGGCCAACGTTTCGTATCGTCACCATGTTGACCTTCTGAAGGTCCTGGATCCATCGGATCTTGCCATTCGGCTTTCGTAGGAAGAACCATCAATTAGCATAAGCGCTATCAGACGGCTCCGCAACGTGGAAAACCATCTTTTTTTTCAGGAAAGCAATAACTTTTTCCTTCTCCTTATGGGCGTATTTCCATCCCGCGTCATTCTAGGGAACATGTGGTATCGTGTAAATCCTTGCTGGCTTAGCGTATCGAGGGTCAACCCTACCGCGCTACGCGTCACAAAAAGTTATGGCCTTATCACATGTCTTCAGGATTTCTATCACACGTTCTCGCTCCTGTGGGTTCAAATTCCCATCTCCGATGTCCATCCCTGCTACCCTCTCTTCCGTTAGGCGTTGCAGCTCGTTTCTCTTTCTTTCTTTGATTTCTTTCGCGATCTCTTCTTTCGATATCCCTTCCAGTGCAGATCGCTCGCGGCCCACCGCCGCTGGCTTAACTTTTTGAGCTACTCGCTTGTGTCGCTTAGGTAGCCCCCCATAGGGGGCCGTGCCCTTAAAAAAGACACGGATACCACACCGCCAAATTCCTCATCTTTTTCCTTTGGGTACGAGTTGCCGTCCACAATTAGCTGACTCCCTAAATCTTCCACCTCCACGATCCGACCTTTTTCCTGTGTGAGCAGTGGTCCATATTTCTTCTCGCGAAATCGCACCGCGCGGCCAGAGATAGGCAACGACTTAATCTGATCACTGGGTCTCGCACCCACAGCGAGAGTTGCTCTGTTCCTCGGGTCCCGAGGCTCCACTGTCTCAATCATTACCCGTGTCCCGTCTGGCTTCTTAATGGACAATGTTTGGCTCCCATCAGGTCGCTCTATCGTCACCGCATGCACGTGGCTCAGTCACGTTCGACCCAAGAGCCGGTCGGAGCTGCAGTTCTTGACTGCAAAGACAGACAGGGTCACTCGTACCCCTTGGACCTCTATGGCTGCCTTGTGACAAACCCCAGTGATCTGTTGCTTTCTCCCATCAGCCGTCTCTATCTCGAATAGCTATGACCTATCAAGGCCCAGTCCAACCTGTACTGCCAGGTCCTCGTCTATGATGACAGCCTCACTGCCATTATCGATTATAGCATCGAGCATCGCTCCATCGTTTATAATCGTCTCCACGGCCCGGTTACCAAGTATATAAAACTTGTCTGGAATCACACCTTCCATTCCATCGAGAAGGACTGTCGCCATGCGATCCGCTCTGGCAGTCACCCCCGTTACTGCTACTGTGGGAGCTTCCGCCTTAGGGGCCCCCAGACCCTCCTCCGATAGAGGTATGCGAGTCTTCCGCGTGATCATCTGTAACTCATCACGAGCCGGCTTCGATGCCGCCAGGTACTGCAGAATAGAGCACTGCATGGGTTGCCAAAGGGTCCGACTCGGTGGCTCGACCGTGTCAATCTCGTCCAGCGAACTCTTCATTAAGAACTTCTTCACTCCCATCTTTCGCGGCGAAAGGATAACCTCCTCTCCATCGACGCGCTGCCCGTCCTTCTCCGTTATCACGTAGTCCGTGTCAGTCTTCTTCGATGTAGACCCTCTCGCCGACTTGGTGGCTGTCACCCTTATGGGTGTGGTCGCCATATCCCCCTCAAAGGTTATCTTGATGCTCTGGCTCCTGACCGACTCCTTTTCCTTACTCGGCTTTACTCTCCTTGCTTCGACATTCTCCTTCATCGAAGGGAACATCGATACATCTCCCAGATCATCTGCCCACTTGACGTACTTGCGGTCGTCAAGCACAACAAGTCTCTCATCTATTGCCCATTTGAGGTCCGTGCAATCCCTCTTGATATGATATTCTCCTCTACAGTAAGTGCATGAGTTCCTGGGAGTAGATGGTCTGTCGTCTGCGCTTCTAGAGATCGAACCCCTGGCTGCCTTGGGGTCAGGCGACTTGGGATAAGGCTCTGATGAGGCGCCATATCCCCCTCTCTCATTCCGGCCGCGCAAATCGTTGCGGCGGTCTCCTCCAGACCCTTCTTGCTTATACCGCCCTCGCGAATCATCGCGTTGGTCCCCTCGGTTGTACCACCCCCGCGACTCGTCGCGCTGCTCTCTCGCATCTCCCCCGCGCTCAAATCGTCTGCGCGACCCATCTCGTCGTTCCCAGTCCCGATCTCCTTTTTCATACCTACCACCTCTGTAGCCATCTCGACCCGACCTCTCGTATGTGTCGTCCCTATATCCGTCTTGGTCCGATCTCTCGTATCTGTCATGCCTGTATCCATCTCATCGGCCCTGATCCGTCTCCCATTGGCCGCGAGAGTCGCCTCTATCCCGATCGGCCTCATAGCGAGGGCTTCGCGGGTAATCATCCTGCCTCCTTGCTCGCGCAAACGGCTCGCGATCTCTGCGGTCTCGGTCTATCTCATCATCCCTACATCGCCATGGCTCATCGTCTCTCTCTCTTCCCCTCATACGATAATCAGTCAGCGTCCGAGGATTTCTATCCTCGACACTCCTCCAGGAATCATTGTTCCTACGGTCCCAGCGAAGTGAATAGGGCCCTCCAGGTTTGTCCCGGTAGGCCGTGGCCCCTGTAGTGGTCACAATCTCTGTAACCTGTCTCGTCAATCCCTTCACCATATCCCGGATCTCCTTCACTTCCTCAGCCACGGCCTCATTCTTCTCCGACCAGGGATAGTCCTTGAAATCAGAACATCTATCAGTGGCATACTCCTTGTAGAGAGAGAAGTCACGTCTCCTCATCCCTCTCCACACCAAGTCCTTGTAATCGTTTGCCTCTGCCTTTATCGCGAGCTTTAGGACTTCTGGGAAATCAAGCTTGTCGCGCGGAAGATCTCTAAGTATACTTTTTTGCCTACCTTTGGACAGGTGTCCGATGAAGATAGTACAGTGCTCGATCTCTGAGATCTTCCCCTTCTTCATCAGTACGTCGGAGATCTTCTCGAAACGCATCCCAAATGCCCGTACGCTCTCATCTTCATCTTGAGTCATTGTTTCAAGGTCCTTGATGGAATACTTGTTATCCTCCAATTTGTAAAGCTCAACGAGGTTCTTCTTGTACGTAGTCCATTTTCCATCCTTCGGKCRAGCTTCCTTAACTTCCCTACCGAGACTTGGGTCCACATTAAATAGGAAGTTCTCTATAATCTCTTCCTCCGACCACTGACTCCGGCTGGCGTGAAGCCCCCACTTCTCGAGATATTCTATGATACCATAGCCCCTGAAAGTAGGAGGCTCTGAGGCCTTGTGTGTAATAATATAGCGATTCTTGCTCTCATAAGGGAGCGGATGTGACTCCCCTGTCTGGGGGTCGAAGACTCGCCTGGGCGGCGCCCTGTCTCTATCTTTGTCCCTCCAATAGGAATCCCTCAAACTCTCTCTCCAGTCGTCTCTGTGCCTGTCCGCTATGGTGTCCCTCCGCTCGTACTCGGGGGAGCGTCGCCTCGTCGCTTCTCGTCGTCCGCTCGAGGTACCCGTCTTTAGAGCCTCCTGCGGCTCTGTCGCAACTGGTTCGCCCGTCACGTCGGACCCTCCGTCATTAGTTTGGTCAGCCCATCTCAACGATGCTTCTCGCCTAATTCGTTCCTTCAGATCTCTCAGAGCTCGATCGGGCGATGTCATGTACTCCTCGCCCGCTTCGCCCGCGGTCGGTTGTGGCCCCATCGTGTTGGGTTCCATTGGACCGCCTGAAGACGCAGTTAGGTATCCTAGCCAACTCTTACAGCCCGATCCTATGATTGTCGCTGCAGCCTGGACCTGTGACAGTTGCGGCAGCCCTGACCTGTTACCTTGTCACGGCTCGCGTCCGCCTCCAACCTTAGCTCTCGACTGCCTTGATTACCACTCCGAGTATCCGGTATCCCAAACCTAACCAATGTCTCCTGATCAACACCCCTCACAAGTCTTCGATCGTCTATCTCCGTCCTCCTTGCTAGTTCTCCTAGCCGTGTCCTGAATCGGTTAGCCCGCTAAAGGCCCTCCAACTGCCATCCAAAGTCGCTCATCGACCTTTCTAGCTTCCACTATCCTTCCAAGAGCTTCCAATTTCTATTTCCACTCTCTTATCCCCCAGACAGCTACGTGGTCATCTGTCTAGCAGCTGAGGTAAGTTAGTGTTATAACCACTTGTAACCTCATCGCCGACCGCTCCAATATGTCATAAAATGTCTCAAAGTCCTCCTCATCTCCACCATCTTCTATGGCCTCTAAAGTCTTTATCGACTCCTTCCAGTACCGATTGTGAGCAGCTAGCACCTTGAGTATGGCACCGTCTGTTACAACTCTCCCTAACTCTCCAGCTTTCCTGGCTTCGCTTGTCTTCAACCTTGCAGCCTCTCTGGTCGTCTCGTACCATGCCCTTATCCGCGACCGCCCTTCAAAGGGTGTTACTCGGAGTACGTATTTTATCTTTCGTCCTCCTTCTATTCCAATCCAAAGTCTTGTCCCCCTTGCTTCACGCAGGGCATGGCGGACACACTCTGCCTCCTCAACTATGCACAGTCTGGTATGGAGCTGGAGTTCTATGATCATTAACACTAATGGTCCGTCCAGTCTCCCTACCACATATAGAGAGTACTGATTTGTCATGTATAGTGCAGTCCCGCTTATGTCCTGTCGCTACTTCCCTGCGTTACTTTGTCTTCTGTTGTCTCGCTCTCTGCAGATCGCTCACTAGTTCCTTCGCGTGATACGCTTCTAGCCTTTACCCTCTCTAGAAAGTCTGATCTCCACGCCTGGATAATCTCTCTTTCCTCCCTAAACAGACTCTCTAACTCTCTCGTCACGAGTTCAGTCCTACGCAACTTGCCCAAGCGTCTCTCTACTCGGTGGCCCCCACCTCACACAAATGGCGTAGTATACTTCCTTGAAGCGGGGCGCTAAGCCCTCCCAGAGCGCGTAAAGTGTTTGGTCCACTGCTCTCCTCAAACGATCCACGCTCCCATAGGTCTGCCCTATCACGAAGGTAGGAATTCCGAATCGCCAATCCTTTCTCGGGTAGAGGGTCGGATGTGCTGGGCCGTATACCAAGCAGCTCCTACTCGTCCCCTCCAGAGAGTCTCGCCAATTGCTGATTAAGGATCACTCTGGCCAACGACTCACTTCTCCACCAACTCCGGCTCGCCCCTGCGAGCGTCAATCCTATCTCTAAATCGTGTGCTCTATCCGCTATCAGATGTCCGACCCCTTCTAGATCATGAGTCTTCTCGGGTCGTTCGTCTCGTAGTATCACTGTCCAAAGGAAGAGCCCCTCTGCGAGCCACGTTCCCAAGTATCGTATCGGTACACGCCCTGTCTCTTCTAACGCCACAGGAAGTGGTATGTCGTATCCAACCGCCGTCTCTCTGGGTCCCACAAGCTTCCTCCCACTATACGATTCGGATTCTCGTGAGAGAACATAAGCTAACCAGGCCACTGAATCACTCCTCATCTCTCCCCCTACTCTCGGTCAGCATCACTGTACTTCTTCTGATGCACCCCATCTCTCGGCATTGCTAACCCTTCAGACAACTCTCGCACTCAGGTCCAGTATGGTCGAGTAGCTTCAGTAGCTAAGCCCACTCAATCGTCACTCAAATGTGCTCCTCTACCTCCTACGTCCGGACTGCTACTCCTATCCTGGAAAATGAGTGTCTGTAACGTTAATCTCCTCCTCGTCAACCTCACTCTCAACCCARTCTGGCTCCCAGGCGTCCTCGTCGTCCTCTCGCTCCCAACCCTCGTCGTCAAACTCGTCCTCGACGCGGTACGGCGCCTGTCCTATACCCTGGTAGTATTCCGCCAACTGATGGCCGTATATCAGAGGTCGCTCGGCGTCCTCACTTCACCAGCTCCCCCAGTCGTCTCACAAGAGCCGCCCGACGCAGGTCATGTACTCGGGGCCTGCTCGGAGCTCACGGTCTAGCCAATCCCAAACGCACGGAGACTGGGGCCACTCGTTGTCTATCGAGCGGATCAGTTCTATAAGCTGAACCCTCTCGTCTCCCCAACGAGGTTCACCGGTCGCAAGCAAATAATAGATGTAGTCTAGGTCGGCAAGCCTTCTCGCCTGAATCTTGAGATCCTGATAGGCCAGGTATGTCTCGACCACTCCACCAATACTTCCAAAGACGCTCTCTACTACGAACGTCGGAACTATCGCCCGCAGACTCCTAACGCTGTACGAGAAAAACCCATCCCGTGCTACCACCAGCTCGCCCGTGATATCAAGAGGAGGGCGTCCGTGAAATAGGGTCAACGGATCGCTCGAGTCCTCCGCTCGGAAGGCAGCTACCTCTTCTCCTAGGTAGCATAACGCCCTGCTAATTATGCCACTAGTCCCTCTCGTCGCGAGGCCCACCACGACCTCCCTGACCGCATCCGGTCCCAAATACAAGTAGACTCTCACTACGCCAACTCCTTGCCCCGGCTGGTGCTCTCTGTACGTCCAAAGCCACACGTCCTCGGACAAGATTATGGACCTCCACGCAAACTGGCCGTCAAAGTGTCGAATGTTGCGTTCGGGGATCGTGAGCTCGACCAGATCCCCTTCTATGAGTTCAGGGGGCTCCAAGTCTCAGTCAATGGTAGCCCCATAGACCTCTACTTTCACCCGCGGCCACATTCAACTGGCGGCTAGAGAGAACGCAGCAAGAGGGAGGTGTAGATTAATAACTGAAATTTCGCGTCACTTGCCTCACGTCTTCGGAAACAAGTTAGTAGGTTCACCAGAAACCAGGTTATCGCAACGTCTCTTTCCCTTCTCCTTCTAGGGAATTCTTTTGTATTATTCAATTATAAATTAAAAAAAATGTATTTAGTTAACATAAAATTTCTTTCTTAGTTTATATATATTAAGGATCAATACATATATTAGCCCGCCGAGTTTGATGATTTTTAGGGGTAGAAATAAAATTTGGAGAATTTACTAAAATTTCGGCAGCGTTTCGCCTCCCCCCGTTGGGATGGGGTTCGGGCGAAGCCCTCAAACAGCGCTGCCGAAGAAGGAATATCAAAAGGAATAATGGAAAAAAGAAAATTGATTTAACTCGATTTTTAAATATTTTTGTTAATTAATTAGCAAAAAATTAAATTAAAAGGGAAATTTCGAAAAATTTCGACAGTAGTTTTCCTTCCCCCCGGTGGGAGGGTGTTCGGAAAAAAAGTCCCTCAAATAGGTAAAGAAGATATGAAGAGCTTTGAAGTCAAACAAATGCCCCTACGCAATTTTTAATGTTTATTTCAATTTTTATCGATTTTAAATAACAACATCAAAAGTAAAATAATTCTTAATTATTTAATGGAGCAAAACTTCCCGAATTAATTTTCACAATCTTACCGGATATATTTAACAAAAAATAATTCGTAACAAATGTGGAAGCTAGAAGCTATGGCTTCCCTCTATCTTCCCGCTTCTCTCAAAATTGGGGTTCAGACTTCTCCCTAATTAAAGTTTGCCCTAATTAGGGTTTTGGGTTTTGCGCGCAACCGCACGAACACCGCAAAGCCCTGTTCGACGCGAGAAAATTTTTGTTACCTTTCACTAGTTTTAGAAGAAAAACTTATTGGATTACACTTTTAAATTCCTTTTTCTTTTAATTTAAACAAAATCACAAAGAAATTCAATTTCCCATTGATTTTCCTCCCCCTTCTCTATCTGTTGGAGCTCGCCGTTCCTGATTAGGGTCTCAAAATGTCGGGAAAAATACAAGGACCAACTTTGGTCCATGCAGGGTTCCTTTAATTTCGCTTACTTTCTCGACCATTTCAATAAAACGAAAATCATTTTTTTTGGAATTTGTAATCAAAAAATACAAACAATTTCATATCTCGCTTTTTAGCCGTTCGAATTTCTCAAAAAATATATCAAAACGTTCGCCTCGATGAGAGGACGAACTTTGCTCCCAGTGCGCCTCGCACGAAATGGCGCGGATCAGGAGATTTCGAGGAAAAACCAATTAGGAATTTCAACTCATGATTTTTAGAATTTTTAATTAGAGAAATACAAAAAAATCCATATCTTTTTTTCTAGCCGTTAGAATTTTTCAAAGAACGTCTCAAAACGTTCGCCTCGACGAGAGGGCGAACTTTGCTTCATGCGTGGCTCGCGCAAAAGCGCGCGGATCGGGAGATATTTCAAAAAAAAACTAAATAAAATGATTATAAAAAATAAAACTAATCAAGAAAACAAGCTAATTAGTGTTTGACTAATCAGCCCGTGCGCCCACGTTGGTTGGGGAAGGTCGCGGCCTTGGGGGTGCTACTCCCCTCCCCGGCAACGGCGCCAAAGTTGTTAGGAAACCCGGGAAGGGGCGTCTACCGTTCGCTGAAGCCGAGGGCTACGGCGCCTGTCACTCGCCTCGCCCGCTTCCGAGGTCCTCARCGATCAGCAGGGATCGAAGTCGGGGGCGTCCTGTCACGCTCCCTTTTTTCTTTTTCTTCCTTTTTGTAATTTAGCAGCTTCGATCAGCAAGGAGTTCCAACAGTCAACTGATATCGCTCAACAGTACGTTTCAACAACCAATTAATAATTCAGCCAATTCACGCACTAGGGAGTTACAACAGTGAACCGGTGTCACACAGCAGTGCGTTTCATCAGCCAATGGATAATTCAGCCACCCCGCGCAATGGTGAGTTGTTAGCATTCAACTGGGAATTGCAACTAGGCCACCACAGCAAGTTTCACAGTCAACTTTGGATGTGCCACCCCACTCTCTCTTCCTCTCCCTTTCACAGTTCTCGCTCCCTTACTCACGTTGTTCTCCCTCCCTCAGTCTCGCTGCTCTCTCTCTCTCACTCTCGCTGTTCTCTC